CTGCTCTGTATTCTCTTTCCACTTGGTGTATCTTCCAATGATGAGTGATACGTTCTTGTTGTTTCTACAACATATTGATTAGGTTCTGCTGGTTCCTCTGTCTTTTTTGTTGTACAGACATTCCTCGTTTAACGACCTACCTGTTTGATGACTGCTCGGACTTACAACCAGGGTGTGCTTTTCAGACTTACAACCGAATTCGGACTTGAGACCACGCGGTGCGCAGTTCAGACGTAGGAGCATGAGCGGCATTGGGGCTTCTTCTACAGTACAGTGCGGCTTATGGTGACTTCTACTGCTACATTGCGACATTGATTATATGCAAGAAATCTACTATTCTATGCAAAAAATTACTATGAAGCTGGTAAAAAAGTTAATGCAATAGCACATGACTTGAATCTGGCACATTCAACCATTTCAACCATCCTGAAGGACAAAGACAGAGTGAAGGAGGCAGTCAAAACATCAACAGGTTTTAAAGCCATAATAACTAGGCAGCGGAAAGGCCTCATTCATGACATGGAAAAATTAAATTAATTAAGCGGGGATCACCATGGAGGCATGCAGGTAGCCTCACACCACCAGTGAAATTCAATAGGATTACATGAACATCCAGCCGGACCCTCCTCCAACATATATCACTTTTGGTACACACTGGCTGGATGGCTGGATGTCATCTCTCCCTCGATGACTCTGAGGTTCCGAGTGTGACAAAAAGGAGATCATGAGGGTGGTGGTGGGGTTATCCGGCTCCCACTTTCTCGATTCTCCAGGTGCCTCCCTTACCTCGCAAGTTAACCCTGCATGATCCATCTGTTATGGGTTCCCTGATGAAGCCACTGGCGAAACACGTCGTGACCTATTAAGCTAAGCCACTATAGGGGCAACTCTATTTCTGTTAAATCCTGTGATTATTATCATGTTTTTGATTTTGCAACACTTGGATTATTAGAATATGTATGTATTATAATAGTGTTTACTCAAGCAAATCCCATGCAGGGTTTTTGTCAAATATATGAAATGCATCGCTTTTAACTTTATACAAATAAATTTGATATATATTTTTAATATATCTCTCTTGGATGGTCAATTACACCCCTCCAGAAACCCTATTACCTAATAGCTTTTTCAACAATGACATAGAAAAAGCCAAGGCACTCAGTATCTTCAAGACTTTGGAGGCACGAGAAGGTGAAGAATCAACTGAAACTTTTACAGCAAGTCATGGATGGTTTCAGAGGTTTTGTTGCAGATTCAACCTGTATAATCGGAGTGTCAGTGGTGAAGCGGCAAGTGCATATGTGGAAGCAGCGGAAAAATTTCTTGACAATTTGATAAAATCATAGAGAAAGGCGGCTACTGTCCAGAACAAATCTTCAATGTGGATGAAACCGGACTTTTTTGGAAGAAAATGCCTGAAAGGTCCTACATACACAAAGAAACTAAAACAATGCCTGGATTCAAGGCTTTTAAGGACAGGGTCACATTGTTGTTTGGAAATGTTACTGGGTTGAAGCCTTTCCTCATCTATCGGTCCGAGAACCCACATGCATTGAAGAACGTTAGTAAGCGCAAACACTGCCCGTTTACTATCGAGCAAACAACAAGGCATGGATGACCCTTGGTGAAGCATTACTGTCTGGAAAAGGGCGTTCTCTTTAAAATCATTCTTCTGCCCAGCATCTTGATGATCTACACCCAGATGTTAAAGTAGTGTACCTGCCTAAAGACACAACTGCTATACTTCAGCCAATGGACCAGGGGGCTAAAGCTACATTCAAAGCATACTATTTAAGCACAACTTTTTCCAAAGCTGTAGCAGCAACAGAAAACAATGAAGTAACCCTTCGTGATTTCTGTAAATCATACAACATTTTAGAGTGCATTAAGAACATTGCATCAGCTTTGGAAGGAGTGACAGAAAAGTGTATGCAAGACATATGGAAAAAATGTCTAAAACATTTTGTGCATACATCAGAAGCATTTGACAAAGATGAACATGCCAATCTTATAAACGAAACAACTGTGGAACTTGCTAACGTGCTTAATTTTGAGGTTGAACTGCAAGATATTAAAAAATTAGTGGAATATACTGAGGGAGAGCTAAGTACGGAAGATTTAATAGAGTTGGAAGCACAGCAACACTTAGAAGAGGAGGAAGCAGAAGAGGAAAGAATTGAAGAAGTACCAAAGAACTTCACTGTAAAGGGATTAGCGGGTGTATTCTCAAAAGTGAATGCAGCTATGTTAGAACTGGAAGCTTTGGATCCGATTGTTGAACGGTTCACAAAAGTGGAACGGCAAATAAGTGAACTTTTACGATGCTATCGTGAAATTTATGAAGCAAAAAAGAAAATGACAGCTACACCCAGGACCCCTATTACTAGTTCTTTTTCTTTTTTTTTCTATTTCTACTGCATCATCTCCTATACCCGGGGCTTCTACATCTCCTGATCAGAATTCTGATGATGACACTGACGATACCTTTTTAGGATTCAAAGACTAACTGGGTTATTCACTAAAGGGTGAAGAGTTTGGAGAAGGCAAGAGAAGTGAACAATCTAGGACAAAATAGCTGATTTGGAAAAACTCTCCAATTCAGCTCACTTTCCAGTTCAACTATGCTGTCCCAGATTGTTCACTTCTCCTGCCTTCTCCAAACTCTTCACCTTTTTGTGAATAACCCTGTTAAATGTTAGTTTGAATTTTTTTTTTTTATAATTCTGTACAACTTGTTTAGTACAGTACAGTACAGTGTGGTACCATGTTAGCCATCGATAAATGCAAGACGTATGAAACCGCGCAATAACCTTCATTTAACTGGAGCTGTCAAAGATGTAAGCCCCCAGGATCTGAGTAACAAAGGGCACCCCAAAATGTATTGCATACATCTTGTTTAGTGAGCCTCAATATCTTTTTTTTGTACAGTACACCTTGTTTATACAGTACAGTACTGTTTTGCTGATTGTACTGTACAGCCCAGCTCTAGTACTACATTTATGCAAATAAAAGCAAAGTTATCAAATTTGAGTTTCCGTTGTCCATTTCTTTGCTCTGAATATTGTAATGTACATATTTTACTATACTGTATAAAATTCCTTGTTTAGCAACCAATTCGTTTAACGACCTAGTCGTAGGAACAGAACTCGGTCGCTAAACGAGGAATGCCTGTATTAGTATTTCTTTCCTCTATCTCTTTTTGTCTTTTTATGTATTGATTTCCCTTGGTTCTCTATTTCGTTCTTTAAACTTTCCTCATCTGTACCACTTTCTTCCTCCTCTTCCTCCTAGTATTATAGTGCTATAACACCTTGGCTCCCAGAACCGAATGGCGTTTGGGAGCTCCCGAATGCTATTGTGTTATTTGACAGCTCAGAATGTCAAATGGGTGGAACAAGCCCCATGATGTCATGGCTCGCTCTGCCCATTTGTTTACATTCTGGCCAGAGCTGTCATTTTGCGGTGAGTCTTCGTCGGGTTCCGACGGGTTGTCACGCGGCAGGACTTTTTTTTATTTCAGCGAGTCGGCGGGTGTCATGCATTGTGATTGTCACTGGATTACGAGGGGACGCAGGTATGACGCAGGTAGTGGGGGTGCTCGATCCTTCCCCCCGTTTCCTGCCCTGCCGGGCCTGTGCTTGCATCAAGGGTTTGGTAGGAAGTTTAAGGGGGGGCCCTTGTTTTCCCCCATTTGCTTTTCTGGGGGTGACCCTGGAAAAGCACCTTCCCAGTGTCGAGGGCATGTGGCCTGGTATGGCAGGGAGGGGGCGCTCGCTTGTCCCCCTCTTTCCTGCCCTGCCAGGCATGTGCTCGGATCAAGAGTCTGGTGAGGAATTTTAGGAGGGACCACACTCCCCCCATTTTGGGGGTGGGGTTCCCCCTTAAAATTCTTACCAGACCTAAAGGACCTGATATGACTTTTCGGGGAACCCCACACACATTTGTTTTATTTTTAACTACAGGGGGTCCCTTCTAACATTTCTAACAGACCTAAATGGTCTGTTATCAATTGGAGGGAACCTCACACTATTTTTTTTTCTTCTGTGGACTGTAAAAAAAAAAAAGTCATTTTTTTCCTATTGTCTAATGTAATTTCGTAACAAAAATATGTACATACTACCGCTAACGAAAATCCAGACTTCATCTGAATCCGAATCCCAAAACGAATTGAAAAATACAAGTGAAAACGAAACAAACACATTTTTTGCTGCCGCACATGTCTATGTACTCTACATTGCTCTACTCTGTAGATTGTGCTGTACATTGTACTGTATAATACTGTATAATATAGTGTGCACTGTTCCACTTTGTAAACTGGTTAACATACCTTACTGCATGCAGATCCACACTTATATGTACAGTATATGTATGTTATATATTTCACATTTCTCTAATGGATACACTCCACAATATAGTATATGCCCTGCCACTGTCTATTGCCCCCCTTCTGGCTTCATTCACACCTTTGTGTTTTTCATGTGATGCGGTTTCAGTGCAATGTATTTTTATATGCATTACCATTTATTGCTGTGGAGGTTGTGCTATGTTCGAAAACCACACAAATGATGAAGATACCATTTGTTTTTAACTTGGTACAAAAATGCAGAGATATAAATGCAGCTTTACACTCCCCAAACAGAAGATATCATTAATTGTAAAGGACCCTTCTGTAACCAAATGGGTACACCATGGAAATTATACCATTACAATGTTCTTCCTTTTTTTTAGATTCTATTATTACAGTTTCCAAAACTGAACATTTTTTATAATCAGACTCAGTAAGTGCTCTTTTATGGTTCAGTTTATACAACTTCATCTTTCAAATGAGGAAGTGGTAAAGGAAATGAGCAGCCTTTTTTTCTGAGAAGTAAGCACTCCTACCAGGGGGGATGTTGTCACTTTTTTAGAAGCTTGGCCAGTCTACAGCAGCACAAGAGAAATCAAGCAATACTTTTTTTATTTTAACATAAGGAATAACTGCACCTTAGTATTCCTCAAGATCATCAGGACTTTTACATTTTAATGTAGCTGTTCTGACATCTGACAAAACTTTGTAATGTCAGATTGTTTTCTGTTATGAACAGAAGTGGCTTGCAAACATAAAATGGATTTTCGGAAAGTTCCATCTTGCACGGAAGTGAGCTCATGGAGTCCGGATGCTCTTGTAGATTATTTTAAAATGGTGAGTTATATTTTAAACTACTGAAAACCATGATATTAAAACAGTTTAACCTGATTTTTGTATAGCACTAAGGCACGGATAGGTATTGTAGCATAAATTGGTTTGATGTACATTACATTTATAGCATAAGTAACAAGCATTACAGTTTTCTGCATACAGTACAGTACACAGAATACATATAGAGACACATTTATGGATGAGTGTATGTATGTATGATCTGGGAATGTATGTTGCCAAAAAGGTCCTTTACATTGAATAGGGCTCTCCTAATTCTCCTGTATTTAAATTGTTTTGTAACTGTACTGTCTACCTCTAATTTGTAAAGAAATATGCAAACTGTTGGCGCTATATAAATCCTGAATAAATAATAATAATAATAATAATAATAGCTTTAAATTTGTAGTAAATACTGGAAAACTGGTCCAGAATGTGAATTTTGTTTTCTATTGCAGTGTAACCTAAAGGACTGTGAAAAGTTAGTTAGAAAACAAGGAATAAGTGGAAGAAGATTTTTGGTAAGCATTCAATAAAGAGTTATCGTGATTCTGTGAAATTGGAGCAGGGTGTAACTTGGAATGTGAAAGAACTGTGCTCTTCCTATATTGGTGGTCAGTATCTGTTCCCCGATACATTGATGGTCAGTGTGCCTCCTTTAGGGTCATTAATAACCACTGTCCGGAGCAATTTCCTAATATTTGCACACACATGGCAAAATCTGAATTTTTGGCTAGAAAACTGAAAGCAGAGGCCCTGTAGAATAAAAAAATGCTAGTTGCAATTTTTAATGTTGTACAGTTTTTGCGCAAATGTTTACCAAACCAGTATTTTTAGAAAAAAAACACTAAAATGAAATTTAGTGCACAGAAACAGAATATAATACCCAATTTTTTTGGTAACATAAAAAAGATGGGGCCATGTTGGGTAATTAGATACCAAACATGTCAAGCTTTAAAATTGCGTGCGCCTGTGAAACCGCAAAACACTACAATACCCAAAATTTCCGATAGGCAATGCTTTAAAAGCTTTTACTGCTCATCAGTTTAGTGTTGACAGTGATTGATGGCCCTAGAATTATTGCTCTCACTCCGACGTTCGCAGCGATATGTAACGTGTGGCGCAATTTTCGTTTTTGCACTTGACACGTGTTTGCATTTCTAAGTGTGTGTGTGTGTAATGTTTTTTGCATTTTTAATTTTTTTTTACACTTAACTTTATTGCTATCACATAGGGGGCTAACACAAAACAGCCCCCTATGTAATAGCAATTAGGACATGACAGGCCCTCTTTATGAAGATATCAGGCGTCTTTCAGACCCATGGTGTGTTTATAAGGTTAGTAAATCAACCCCAAAATGTCACCTAGGGACCCCAAAGAAGCTGCTGAAGCAGCACTAGAGTGTTTGGGTTTCGCTTGAAGAAAAAGTGGCAACCCTACCCGCACATGTGCTATGTACTCTCCATTCAGTCCTGTGGATAGAGATGAGCCTGGGCTTGGTGCAAACCCAGTTCACATGAGCTTACCCAAGCCTGCTTAAAACTTTGTCTACCACTCCCCCCTCCTGGCCCAATCAGTGGTGGCAGCATTCCCCATCCCTTTGTGATGTATAACTGCAGGGCATAGAATGCACCTCTCCCCAACTGATTGGGCCAGAAGGAGGGAAAGTGGCATTCACAGTTTTTGGGTTTGGCGAACTCAGGCAAACTGGGTTCACACCAAGCCCAGACATATCACTACCTGTAGAGAGCTCATACTTCATGTTCCAGTGGAATGGAAAGCATCACATGCCTGTGCAAGCCTGACTGAGGAGATTTTGTCAGTGTGGAGCCAATAGGCTGTGCAGGTGATTATAGGTGAATGGGGGGCAGGGGCACCACAACATAAGTGTTATTGCACCAAAAAGAAAATAGTGCAAAACTGTATTTTTCCACAGACATTAATGAATTGGCATTTGTATTGTACTGAGGACAGAAAGATGCTTAGCATAAAATAAAAACATTACACCATATTTATAAAGCAGTGTTAGTCACATTCATCAAGTATTCACTGCAGGTAAATCTCCCTTGCGCTGGAGTTTTAAATTACAGCAAATAATTACCTGTGAATGTTTGGTTGCATTCAATGCTTTATAAATATGCCCCAAAAATATGTTTGGGGGTGGGGGGCTTGGGAGACAGTAGCTAGCAGGTACTGTTAAGCATTTCCCCCTTTTAACAGCGTTCATTAACCAACACAGCCCATAGAACCAAAGCTAATACAGGATCATGGTGGTGATTGGTGCATTAGGATTAGCATAAGGGAGTCCACAAAGAGTCATAGGAACTAAAAGTGTTTGTGAATAGGGTTTTCCCCACTGGGTGCTATGGTTGGAATAGCAATCAGGCCTTACTCATGCAGTTGTGGTGACAGGCAACATGCGGACAAGAGGAGACAGCAGAGTGACTAGAATGAATGGTCAGTGTGATATTGCCGTTCTATTGTCCAATCAGCAGGCTGCAGGCAGAAAAAGTAATAGCACTGCACTCCTTTACTCTAGTAGAAAAAGCGGTGTCACCATCCTTGCTGTGCTTCCTGGTAGAGCTGTATAAATCAGAAAGACATGTCCTTTGGCAGATAAGCCATTTCATTAAATTCTCCCATATATTTAGCTGTTTGGAGTTTCAGGAGTTGAGCTTCAGTAGAAAAATGTTGATTACCTCTTCAGCAGCATCATAATAATATAGACTTGGTGAAGAACTCCAGGAAAAATTTGTATTAACCCTTGCAGTGGGGCTACTCCCACACTGCAAGGGTTAACTGCTCGTTTTCATCTAGGTAAAAAAAAAATGTTAGTCACCTGATGCTCAGAGCTGGCCTGTTCTTAGACTGGTCCCTGAAGCCTCTCTCTCCCTCCTCTGCAGTGGTCCAAGGTCCAGTAATTTAATCAAATTCAGAATTTATCAAAACTGGAGCAGACAAAATCTGGAGCAGTTGTCCATGGAAACCAATCAGCTTCTCTCTTCAGTTTATTCAGTTAAAATTTAAAAATGAAAGAGAGAAGCTGATTTGTTGCCATGCACAGCTGCTCCAGATATTGTCTGCTCCAGTTTCTGATAAATTCCCCTCACTGTGTATAGCCGTGAGGATACTGAGGAAGATTCCAATGCTGCAGCGGAGGAGGAGACAGGTTAGAGGGAGCACTGGGACAGCCGGCCCGCTTGGAGCTTCTGGTGAGTATCATTTTGTTATTTTAGTTTCCAGACAGAAATGAGCACTTAACCTTTGTAGTGCGGGGGCAGTCCCACTGCAAGGGTCAAGAAATGGTTTTCTGGAGTTATTCTTTAAAGTGACACTAAACACATGAGTTAAATCTTATGAAGTCATTCAGGTTCTCTAATTATTAACAAAAATTTACCTTATTTGTGTATCACTCGGCTGTAGATCCTCAAATCATCTCTGAATTGGTGCTGACATTGTCCTTCCCTCTGAAGGGTGGCTGCTTTTGTTCCCCATGGTCCCTGTGTGTGTTGTAAAGTAGTCACCGCTCCAAGCTCGCTTCCGTGATAGACTAAAATCACAATACAAATTTGTAAACTAAAGATGAGATTGTAGTCCATAATGGGAGTGAGCTTGGAGAGGTGGCTCCATTACAACACACACAGGGACCATGGTCAACAAAAGTAGCTATTACTATTTTTTCCAGCAACAAATGTGATTGCTATCTGCTTGGCAATCCCCTCTTTTCTGTGTTGTTAAAGAGACCCTGCCATATTAATATCAGTAACAGTCTTCCCATACTGTAATCTCATATGTCAAAATATCTTGTTTCAAGTATTTAACCCCTTCGTGACGGGAGACGTACAGTGTACGTCCCGTCACAAAGTGGCTATATGACTGGCCACGTACACTGTACGTGCCGAGTTATATTAGCCTCTGTAATGCTGGTAACTGCTGATTCTCAGCAGTTCCAGTCATTAATTAATGCCTCACTATTGAGACATTCATTAATGAAATAGTTAAGCTTTTTTAAAAGCTTCTTTCTTTCATTAATGAAAGAATGAAGCCTTTACATTCAGATACGGGTTCGCTAAATAGCGATCCCGTATCTGACAGCTGAAGATAGCAGAGAGGTAGCAGTGACTCACCTCTCTGCTATTCATTTTGACAGCTGGAGAGCCTGGCCCGATGTTAAATGATACATTTTGTATCTAGTGGTTGAAATGTATCTCGAGTGAAATGTATCATTTCTGATCGTCTAGGAACGATCAAAGACCTTTAGTGAGATCTGATAAGTTATTATTAGCTCGATCAGTCTCTAAAGTTATTATTAGCTGTTCCTAAGCTTGGAGCAGCCTGATAATAACTAAAAATTTTAAAAAGTTAATTTATTAAGCAGTCATAGTGATTGCTTGATATAAACTGACAAAAAAAAAATATTTTTTTTTACACTTATTTTTTTTACAAAGTGTAAAAAAAAAAAAAAAAAGTGTACAAAAAATTAGGAAAATAAAACGTTTATATATAAATATATTTGTATACTATAATTATTATTAAAAAAATTCTAAAAATAATAATAATAATCAAAACTTGCTGCTGTGGAAGAATCACACAGCAAAAATGTAAAAAGTGTGTCAGTCATTTAGGAACAGAAACTAAAAACTAGCTCAGTCATGAAGGGGTTAATCTCCCTGTAATTGATATTACGATACTGAACAGGCCTGAGACTTCTGCTGTGCTGTTATCTTGGATGTAACATCAGCAGCCTCAGGGATGTCACTCAAATGACGTTCTTTAGTATTTCCCTGCTATGATTTATTTATGTTTGAGGCTCACTGAACAGCCACTCATTTATCTAATGACAAGTCAGAGAGGCTAACCCTTTGTGTGCGGAGATAATAAATGGCTGATATTGAACTTTTTTTTTTAAACTGGGGATACATTCAAGTGTTAATTATTCACATGAGTGAATGTGCTTGGGTTCAGTACGCAGGTTGTTGTAAACCTAATTGCAAACCCCCATTGTAGTTTATTAGAGTCAAATCTGGAAAATCTGATCATTTTAAAGAAAAAAAGGCAAAGGATTGTCAAAAATGGCACGGGGAGCTGGGCACTCCCATTGCATATACCAATGAAAAATACATGTAAAATGAAAAAGTACTGTTTAGCAGGGAGAGGGTCCTACTTTTTATATAATTTCGAGGGTGCTTGCACCAGGGCCCTTTGCTTGCCTTTCGGTGGCCAGAATATACAGTATGTTAGCCACACATGCTAGTGTTGATGGAACATTATTTGTGAGCTAGCCTCATAGGGCAGCATTTTTTCATAAATGCATTGTGTTTTGACTCTGATTAGTTCTGAGGTATAATGGGAGATTTTGCTTTTCCACTTACATGCAACAGTGAGCCTTAGTAATGCACTGGATTCAGAACTTAGTCATGCCCTGAACTCAGGACTTAGTAACGCACTGGACTCTGGACTTAGTAACGTTGTGGACTTAGTAACTCACTGGGCTCTTGATTTAGAAATGCACTGGACTCTG